AGCACAGTGTCATGATTTCAGCTCCCTGCCTCCTCTGCTCTTTGCCACCTGCAAGCGCTCTTGGCCACGCCCACTTCTCCTTCTCCACTTCTGATCAGCTGATCAGCTGCAGCAGGAAGTTTATCCTGCAGTACGGGCTGCACAAAGCTGCAGCAGGTGCTAAAAAGATTTAAATAATCTATTTTAAATAAAAATTGCATTCCGATCGTGCGGCTCATCCATCAATCAGCCAATTGTGTCGTGTTCAATCTTATTTTGAAAAACCGCGATAGAGCTGTACTGTGAACAAACCACGAAGTAGCGAGGGACTACTGTACACACAAACCAACAGCTTATTTTTTTTTATATATGTAGATTTCTCTAGAGTAGATTGTGTCTATATTAGTTTAAAAAATAAAAAACAACACCTACGCTGTGGCACGATGAAGCTTTTGACCTTGAAAGGCGCAACATTTTCATCAAGTGCTGTTTATTTGACCAGAATTAAAAGAGCAGAGGCAAATGAGAACAGCAAGGGAAATCCGATTCCTGGAACAGCGTGCGTGTCTGAGAGCGCACAAGAAACTGCCAGGCTTAAATATTCACGAGCGCAGCATGCTTAGTTGTGAAAACACGTCTTCGTGCGTTTCTTTGTGAACACTAAGTTTCAACCACTGGCCGACAAAAAGATTGCAACTAATTAATTTTTAGGTCGTCTTGGCACAAAGTTCAGAGACGCCCATAATCACTACAGCAGCCATGTCAGTCTGAGGAACAGGCATCTGTACAGCCGTGAGGACAGACCAACAACATTCATGGGTCTTTTTGAAGCGTTTTCGTTTTAGAGCATTAAAAACATGGACATGCTCTGCAGCATCTCCGCTTAATTCGTCAGGAAGGTGCTCTATTGCGATATTTGAAATACAAAGCCAGCTATGTATTCTACGCAACAGAAAATCAACAGCCAAGAAAATGAAGCAACAGTGGACAAACGTGAGCGTACCGTCTCACGTTTCTTGCAGTTTCCTTTTAATATTGCCTGTTGTGGTTTGGAGACGGATAGGTGCCGCACACTGAGCTGCACATTGTTCGCAACTTTATGAACATTGTTAAATCTGTAAAAATCACTCCCTGGTCTTTGTAGATTCTGCAGAAAACGACACGTACAAATCTGATTTACAAGAAGTATCGTAAAATAGACGCATTATAAGATGCCTTCATAAACAGCTCTCGTCCAACAATCATAAGAACATTAATAAGATCGTTTTGTGCAAAAAGGAAAAAACAGATCCGAGTAACCGATCTCTCCCCTGCAGTCCTCAGAATATTGTTCCAACATGTCCTGGAGGAGACATTTAAAGTGACAGAGTCTTTGAGGAATCTTTCTGATTGTGATCAACCCAACAGGATCTCTGCTGGTTTTACGGCACCAGTCTGGAACATCTATCGACCGGCACCGGCGTCATTTTGGTTGAAAGGGAGCAACTGTCACAAATGTTAAGGTTATACGATTATTCGCTCTTTAGCCATTTTGACATTAAGTTTTTATTCCTCGTTTTACTTTTGACGCGTTCAAAGTGATCAGTTGATGCTTTTTGGCTCCCCCTTGTTTTGTGGCCTCTACAGGTGACATTCTGCAATTCTGCTCTGTAGTGTCCAAAACAGATTACCGTACAAGTCGCATCCGTCCAAATACGTTTAATAAAGTGGAAAAAACAAAACAAATATGTCGCATCTATTATGCGTCACCACTGACATCCCGGAAAAGTGTGTAAAAATCGATGGGCTGCCAAATGGCGCGGGAGGACCCTAACAAGAATTTAACAAGATTAACACTTAAAAACAATTATTTGTTTGCTCGACGTTAAAGTGAAGGCGTGTCTCAGTTGAACCGTTCCTTAATAAATGCACTTTAACGATCAAATCGGCTGCATTTCACCGGGGCGGTGCGGTGAAATGCAGCCGATTTGACGTTTGCTCCATGAGTGAGACAAGGTGGCTCGGTATGGCAAGACAAGCATCTCATTAATAGCCACTTTTACCTATTAATGAGGCACTTGGCTTGCTATATCGCATCTAGCAGCTGAAAATGAGTGTTCAATATTTTCCATGCCGGAATGAATGAAAGTGTCAGATCTCAGCCAAAAGTTAGTTATAAATATGGGGGGGAAGAGAGACTAATACATCACTTCGCTGTATAAGTTGCAGGCGTGCTAATTTATGCAAAAAAAAATGCAACTTGTACAGCGAAAAATACGGTAATTTTTCTTCTTTGTTAACCTGTTGGAAAAAATCGATTTCCATTTCGAAGAACGTTAACGCTTCCGTTCCGCCTGAAGCCCTGCCAAGGATTTAGAAATAACTTAAAATATTATGGGCAATTCCCCCCACACGGTGTTGATGAAAATCAACCGTCCTGTCGACGCGTTGGAGTCTTGAAGCGAGTCCGACCAACAGGGAACAAAATCTCCCCAACATCCGATCAAATCAAAGGACCATTTTTAATATTATACCGGTTTAATGAGAAAAATAAAACGTTGAGACAGAGAGGAGAAAAGATATTTTTGTTGAATAATGTGGTGGGTTGTGGCGAAACGGAGAATCCACTTTGATGAAAGAGAAGGTGGACGTCAAGGCCACACTTTAATAAAACCAGAGACCTGCCGTCTGTCCCAACACCGTTTAAATGACCTCGGCTGAACGGACCCGGTGTTTGGCTCCATGTATCCCGACTCTTGCTGTGCTTATAATCACCATCCAAGGTAAGCATTGATGAGAGCTGATTAAATTACTGTTCCGTATTCCCCATACATTAACTTACTGCTGCCATTTCATACTCCGGCTCAATTCTAGAAAAATAAAATGAGCTCCAGAGACTAAACTCAGACAAGAGACAGACGATGGGCAGCAGAGCATAATTATATTCAATAAGCTGTTCGTGTATTGTGCTCCTCTTCAATGCAAACATCTAAAATAGAAAAGTGTTCATGTAATATTTATACGTGAAACAGCAAACTGATCACGACAAACGAAAAGCTGCGTCAAAATATCTGAACGCATGTGGAGGTTCACAGCAAACACTTGGGAAACATAAAAAACAAATAAAATAAACAAAAGCTTAATTTAGGATCTCCGACTGATCAAACTTTATAGAGTTTTACATTTCTCCTAACAGGCAGGTACACAAAACCACGACAAACAGCTTTTATCTAGGGATGTATTTCGCAAACACTGTGAAACGCTCAAAACAAAAACTTCCTCTTCAACGTTTTAAGCCTCGATTAGATTCGAATAACCGGCAGAAGAAGTTTGGTTCAGTTGAGAAAAGTGTTGCTCAAGTTGCTGGTTAATTATTAGCAGCGCTACAAGTTCGCATTCTTGATTTTGATTTTCCACGAAGAAACGTTACTTTGATATTTTCAAACCGTTGTTGGTCAGCACAGATACGTCGTCACCTGCTCGTCTAAACGGGTCAAGGAGGTTTAAGGTTTTAATGCTCGCCGCCTTTTTATCTCCAAATGTGGAGGGGGGCGACCTCACGAGGCTTAAACAGACGCAACAAACTGAAACGGGATTCGTCTGCGCACATAAAACTGTGAACGTTCATTTTGACGGACATCATGTGACCTAAACCAAACTCCACTGTACGCGCGGTCTTTTTGTGCCATTTTCAGTTTACAACAGTTTGGAGCATCAGGAATTCATTCAGTCAGATAAAGAGCAGTGGACACGAGTGAATGTTTCAACTATAAGAGTCATAATTACTCACGTTTAGGTTTTATTTCCTTAAAAAAATAAAATCTGAATCAAACAGAAATGTTATATCCCTTAAGGGTTTGACTGATTGTTTTTTTTTTTTACCTACGCCCATCTTCAAACATCAGGGCAGCTAATATTAATATATAAAGCTCATTCTTTTTGCCTTTTATCTCATTTTTAGTCCGTTTTTATCGCAATTTATTAGTTAAAAAAAGAAAAACAGAACTAGACGTCCTTCCAGATTCAACCTGAAGCATGTTGTTGTTGACAGGTCTGTGGAGCGATACAGTTACTAACTGAATAAAAAGTCCCCTGGCTTTAAAAGGCACCCCCAAATGCAAAGAGGAAATGGACGTAAGGGTATGTCACGAGAAATGCACACCTCAAAAACACACCTGCTACTATTCTCAGGCGTGAACAGTGACCGTTATATTTAAAAGTGGCAACAAAAACCAAGTTAGTCGGCCCAACAACGTTCTGATACCTATTTTTAATGTCAAAAGTCTCTTTGCAGCAACTCCAAACCCTTTCATTCAGTTTGCAACACTTTGCTGAGCGTTAAAGATTTAGTCGCCAAACTCAACAAAAGCACTTCACCGTGGATTATTATTATTATTTTTTAATTTAATGACAGGAAGCTAAAAACTTTGAAGAGGAGCTTTGTCCAACTCTCGCAGGGATGTAAAACCCACTTACAACAGGGAACTGAAATTAAAACCTAATTTCAAACTAAGGACCAATTTTAGAATTGACTCAAGTTAAAAAATACTCAACATCTTGTCTTGATTGCAGGTTCCTCAACAAGACAAGAGTTTGGTCTCATTTGACGTTCCCTGCTGCACTTTTGACAGAATAACCAAAGATTATAGAAACAAATTCAAGTGACTAAAGTATTTTACGTTTATCATCTTGGGGGGCCAGACAAGACGTCAACGAGGGCCACATTTGGCCCCCGTGCCTCGACTTTGACACATGTATCAGTAATAATGTGACAGCCAGGTGCTATAATAAGCAAATAAAAGGCACAAAATGTACAAACCAACAATTATAATTACTGGAACAACCACCGTCAGCACAATTAAATGTCTGTTCCAGGTGATCGCACAGATTGATAGAAATGGTTGTCTCACTTTTTCACTTCCCTGACATGAACCTGCTTGAGATGCAGCAGGTGACACCAACATGATTCTGCTGCAACAATCTTGATTAAACACCAAAATTACTTTTCTCATAAAACTTTAGAGAATCCAACTCCTCCCCTAAAGAAGCTTCCTGGAAAGTAGTTCTTGGATATCCAAGTCTTACCTTATTAAAAAAAATAAAAAGTTTACATTTGAACAATGACACAAAGTTTACTCCCAAACAAGCCATGAAACGTCTTGGGATTCAATTAGCACACCTATCAAAACTGAGCCCAACCTGGATATGAACCAGGAACTAAAAAGGACAAAGTATCATTGAATGTGGTGTGACCATGGCTGACATTTAAATTAGAGTTCACATCATCAGCATTAGTGCAGAATTGTCTAAAAAGGGGCATTAAGTCTAATCACCGATTGATCAGGACATGGTGCAGTTTAGGCCTTGAAGCGTTTGGATTATCAAGCTAGCGAGTAGCGTTAGCTAACTGACACACTACGGAAACAACGGAGGTAGCCGCTTACACTCGCGTTTAAAACTGAATATATCAACTGTAACACTGGTGTAACAAGTTGTCACAAAGTGTACGAGTGGGCGAACAGTCGCACCGCTGCTCTAGCACATAGCTAGCCTGAGCTAAGTTAGCTGCTGACAGGCGCAGCCCCGGTGCACCGAGGGGCTGCCGCTTCCTATGCAGCGCTAACACAAGCGTTCACACAAGCAAACCACGAATACATATGGACAGGCAAAACAAGTTTTCCACATTTATGACGACATGCTATTCCTTCGATGTACTTACAAGCCGTAATAATGCCAGAAAAGAACTGGAATCGTCTCTATTAGCAATGAAGGGAGGAACACACCAGACATGCAAAATGGTGGCTACTCCAGCCTCAGCACATCTACCGCAGGCGGAGGGTTACACTGACAAGGGTTGGTAGAGGAAGGGTATGGAAAGACAATTTATCATATAAGATTTAGGCAGGGTCTTAGAAAATTTATTTTTTCCAGTTAAATTTAACATTTTAATTGCTACAGAACACCATACAAGAAGCCGAATGAGAAAAAAAACTGTTACAGAAGATCATATATATAAATCCCCAACAAGTGTCAAAGAACACAATTTGGAAAGGGAAACGTGTCGTGAGACAGAGGGAGAACAGGAAAATCAAGAATGTAGGAATGAAGGTGGCAACTCTTAAATGTGGAGAAAATGACAAGCAAATGTAGAGAGCTGGCTGACATGATGCAGAGAAGGAAGGTAAATGTTTTATGTGTCCAAAAGACAAAGGGCAGCAAGGCTCGCAGCATTGGAGCAGGGTTTAAACTGTTTTACCATGGTGAGGATAGAAATAGAGAAGGGGTGGTCCTGAAGGAGGAGTTGGCAAAGAATGTAGTAGAGGTGAAAAGAGTGTCAGAGAGGGTGATGTGTCTGAAGGTATACAGAGAGGAAAATGAGTATTTGAACACCCTGCAACTTTGCAAGTTCTTCCATTTAGAAATCATGGAGGGGTCTGAAATTTTCCTGTTAGGTGCATGTCCACTGTGAGAGACATAATCTAAAAAATAAAAAAAAAATCCAGAAATCACAATGTATGATGTTTTAAATAACTTATTTGTGTGTTACTGCTGCAAATAAGTATTTGAACAGCTGCCAACCAGCAACAATTCTGGTCCTCAAAGACCTGTTAGTCCTCCTCTAAAAAGTCCACCTCCACTCCACTTATGATTCTAAATCAGAAGCACCTGTTTGAGGTCGTTAGCTGCATGAAGACACCTGTCCACCCCACACAATCAGTAACACTCCAACTACTAACATGGCTAAGACCAAGGAGCTGTCCAAAGACACCAAAGACAAAACCCTAGACCTCCACAAGGCTGGAAAGAGCTACGGGGCAATTGTCAAGCAGCTTGGAGAAAAAAGATCAACTGTTGGAGCAATTATTAGAAAATGGAAGAAGCTAAACATGACTGTCAATCTCCCTCGGACTGGGGCTCCATGCAAGATCTCACCTTGTGGAGTATCAGTGATCCTAAGAAAGGTGAGGAATCAGCCCAGAACTACACGGGAGGAGCTGGTCCATGACCTGAAGAGAGCTGGCACCACTGTTTCCATGGTTACTGTGGGTAATACACTAAGACCTCACAGTTTAAAATCATGCATGGCACGGAAGGGTCCCCTGCTTAAACCAGCGCACGTCCAGACCAGTCTGAAGCTTGTCCATGACCATTTGGATGATCCAGAGGAGTCATGGGAGAAAGTTCTGTGGTCAGATGAGACCAAAATAGAACTTTATGGTCTTAATTCCACTCGCTGTGTTTGGAGGACGAAGAATGATGAGTACCATCCCAAAAACACCATTCCTACTGTGAAGCATGGGGGTGGAAGCTTCATGATTTGGGGGAGTTTTCTGCACATGGGACAGGACGACTGCACTGTATTAAGGAGAGGATGACTGAGGCCATGTATTGAGAGATGTTTGGGAACAACCTCCTTCCCTCAGTTAGAGCATTGAAGATGGGTTGTGGCTGGTTCTTCCAACATCACAATGACCTGAAGCACACAGCCAGGAGAAGCAAGGAGTGGCTCCATAAGAAGCACATCAAGGTTCTGGAGTGACCTAGCCAGTCTCCAGACCTAAACCCTATAAAAAAATCTTTGGAGGGAGCTCAAACTCAGTGTTTCTCAGCGACAGCCCAGAAACCTGCTGATCTAGAGAAGATCTGTGGAGGAATGGACCAAAATCTCTGCTGCAGTGAACCTGGTGAAGAACTACAGGAAACCTTTGACCTCTGTAACTGCAAACAAAGATACTGTACCAAATATTAACATTGATTTTCACAGGTGATCAAATACTTATTTTCCTTACTGTAAGTAGAAGGTCTGATGCTAAATGTTGTCAAGGGTTATGCTCCACAGGTTGAATGTGATGATGAGGAGAAAGATACATTTTGGAAAGATCTGGATGAAGTGATAGAGAGTATTCCCAGGGAGGAGAGAGTGGTGATGGGAGCAGACCTGAATGGACATGTTGGTGAAGGAAACAGAGGGGATGAGGAAGTGATGGGTAGGTTTGGTGTCAAGGAAAGAAACCAGGAAGGACAGATGGTGGTGGATTTTTCCAAGAGACTGGAAATGGCTGTAGTCAACACAAATTTCAAAAGGAGGAACATAGAGTGAGCTATAAGAGTGGAGGAAGGATCGACTACATTCTGTGTAGAAGAAGAAACCTGAGGGAGACTGGAGACTGTAAGGTTGTGGCAGGGGAGAGCGTGGCCAGACAGCATCCGATGGTTGTGTGTAGAATGACTGTTGTTGTGAAGAAGAGAAAAAGAGTGTGTGCTGGTGCCCATTTTTAAGAACAAGGGTGATGTACAGAGTTGTAGCAACTACAGGGGAATTAAGTTGATGAGCCACACGATGAAGATCTGAGAGATCTTGTTGTGGAAGCAAGACTTGGACGAGAGGTGACTATCTGTGAGCAGCAGTATGGGTTCATGCCAAGAAAGAGCACCACAGATGCATCTTTGCTTTGAGAATGCTGATGGAGAAGTACAGAGAGGGTCATAAAGAACTCCATTGTGTCTTTGTGGATTTAGAAAAAGCATCTGACAGAGTGCCGAGGGAGGAGGTGTGGTGTTGCATGAGGAAATCTGGGGTGACAGAGAAGTGTTAGACTGGTGCAGGACATGTGTGAGGACAGCAGGACATGCATGAGGACAGCAGGACGTGTATGAGGACAGCAGGAGAGTGGTGAGATGTGCTGGAGGAGTGGTGAGGAGTGACAGATAGCTTCAAGGTGGAGGTGGGAGTGCATCAAGGATCGGCTCTGAACTAGTTGCATTCGGACCTAAAAAATCCAGCCAGGCCTGACCTGAACTCGTTTGGGTTTTTTTTCTGAGCATGGATTGTTTATTTACAGTATTCACATTTAAACTGTTTATTGACACAACAGGTGATGAGCATGAGTGTGCTTGCAGCGGAGAAGTGGGCGTGGCAGAGAGCGGAGATCATGACAGGCTGCAGGAGGGAGGTTCTCCCTGCACCTCTGGGCTGCACACTGAGACCGCAGGCGCTAAATAATTTTAAATAATTCATTTTAAATGAAAATTCCATGCCGCTCGTGCAGCTCATCCATCAATCAGCCAGTTGTGTGTCATGTCCAATCTTACTTTGAAAAACCGCGAAAGAGCGAGTCCGCGCAAGTCGAACCGCGAAGGAGCGAGGGACTACTGTATAACCAGTATGAATAAATATTTCAGAACAATCTAATATAATGTAGAAAAAAACATTTAAATCTTTTTTTTTTTCCTAAAACTGCGTAGTAAACATGTAATTAGAAATATCCAGTGTTCATAATAGGATTTGCTACAAAGCATTTTCAAATGTCAGTAACCAGAATAACACATATCATCAATGCAATTAAACACAGCTATGCAAAATTTGGGTTAAATTATTTGTAAAAAATTACAAGATGTAAATTTAACAGACATCAAATTACCGGTAGGTTCAACTTGTGACATATTCTTAGAGGTGTAAAATGCAAGTTTACACTTAGGAAGTGTGTTTTTAATATCCATATACCGGTAATGATGATTCTAGATAGGAACAATGAACTCAAAGCTCAATGTGCACAAATGGGAAAAGTCCCATGTTTGTTCTAGGAGGAGTACCGTTTGAAATATTTCAAATATTGATTATGGTAAATGGACTGTACTGTACGTGCACTGGACTGTACTTGTATGGCACCTTTTTATCTTATCAAGACTCAAAGCGCTCTACAACCTCAATCTGTGCACACAGCACTCTATTATACCTCTACAAAGATAATATGAATCTGTAGAGACTAATCAGAGCTTTAGATCACATTCACACACATATGGGACACACATCGGAGGCAATGAGGGCTTCAGTGTCTTGCCCAGGGACACTTCAGCATGTGACTGCTAGTGGAATCGAACCCCCAACTTTCCCATTGGAAGATGACCACTCTAACCACTCAGCCACAGCTTCCCCCAATGGATTGAACAAAAAGCAAAAATGTTCTTGATGACTAAGAAAAATAGATCAGTGGAGATATTTGTGACATAAATCAATTCTAGTCTTTACATTTCAAAAGGAGTATCAACAAGCTGCTGATCAGTTTCATGTTGCTGCTAATCAGTTTAATGCTGCTGCTGATCAGTTTCATGTTGCTGCTGATCAG